AACAAACAGGATAAACTTCCAACAAAAAAACACCTTAAGCTCAAAAGGACATTTTTTAAATAATAGCCCTAACCCATGATTGCATACTAATCTCAGAGAGGATCCTGGAACAAATGTGTTCTAAAATGTCAACCATTATAAACCTAGCAAGAATATCTGAGATAAGACCAACATCCTATAATATTAAATAGGAACTAGTAGAGATATAATTTATAAATTATAAACCACGGATGCCAATTAAAATAACATTTTTGCCACTAAAATTAAACTATCCTGCAGGAATTGAGCCCCCCATCCCAACGTGCATACTTCTGACCCTGAAGCTAGCCAACACAGTAGGTCAGAGGACGATGCACCATGGATGGGAGGACTGCTGTGTGGAGTCACAAGTTCTTCCAAAGGACAAGTGTGGTCCGGACTCCAGATGTATGGCCACATACCACATAACACAGTAGATATATTATGGCTTGAGATAGATAAAGCAATAGGGCGTTTTCCACAGGAACGTAAAGAAATCTGACTGCATGCAATTTATAAATTTAGGTTTACCGAACATAAATGTTTGGGTTTAAAAGCCAAATGAACTGTACACATCATATGTCAAGCCATAAATTTTGTTTGCAAAAAACAATTACATAGCTCAATTAAATTAAATTTCTATGATGAAACCGTTAAATTCAATAGGCAGATCATATAACAAAATGAGCTTGCATCTGTAAGTCCACAAAGCAACAAATATTTGCATCCATTTGTTCACCCGCATGCTGCTATAAAAATCTATCCACACAATCACAAATATTATATCCTTCCATCAGTCACCAATATGATAATAAAAAGTAAATCACATGCAACCATAAAAAACTGTCCACAAAAATATAGGTTGGTTGTGCATCAAAACAACCCTAATGGAAAAACAGAGCATAAGAAGAGGAAATCAGAGTAGGAGAGATGAACAAACCTGCTTGTAAGAGGATATAATCAGGTGCATGCAAGATTGAGCACAAACTCTTTTAAAACAACAGCTCAACCAGACAACATTAGTGGCTCATCGAAGCAAAAATCTTCCACACAACAAGAAAACATGGCACATACAGATTACCAAGAAATGCTCCAGAAGCTTGCACTGGCCAACAGGCACCAGTCCACTACTGAAGGCCCTAACACCACACCCCTACACAGTCATTGGCTTCTAGATATTCAGCATTGCATAGAGAAAGGACAAGGGGCTATAGTCTGAACCCTGAAGCTAGAAAGAACAAAGTAAAATCGAAATTAGATAGAGGTGAAAGGAAAAGCAGTGCTGAATAATTGGAGGCTAACTATTTTATTTGCATCACAAGGGGTATGTTCACATTAATTTATAACATTTCCTATTCTACTCACAATTTTTACAAGCATGACAAAGCAAGAATTCCATTTTCACATGAGATGCATGGAGCAAAAATGCAAAATTACATAACTATAAGCCTAGATGCCAATCTAATATACTACTAGAATAAGAATGACGAGCTTTACAGAAAAACTAAGTTAGAGTGATTGTTCTATAAGTTACCTAGAGCAGCAAGATTATTCTTTTGGCCATTTGTTGTCGCATCAGCAAGTGTTGATAGCCAAATCATATCTCGATGGGATTACTGACTTACTATACTAGCATTGCAGATTACTAGATTGTGAAACAGATACCCTTCGTTATTTTTTAAACAATAATTTAGTCTAGTATACAAGTTTCCCCAACACTTAATTGCTTCAGAAAATATAGTTCAGATAAATTTTAATTGCATCAGTCTAAATAATAAATATGTTTAGTAACAAGTTTGATGGTTAATCTTTTCTTAGTTATCATTTTGGGTCCTGTTGCTGGTAAGAAGAGAGATCCAGTGAACTATATATATAGAACAAGTGAATATATCTAAATAGTATATCAGCATCCCTCTAGTAATAATTAGCCATTTGTGAATTTTTTTTGTCCACAATAAATTAAATATTCAGATGTAATGATGATTTTAGGAATGATATACATGCTATGCTTGCAATAATTCAACGAATGGCTAATTGTACTATGCACTGCAGAGAGCATAATTGTCCTATTAGATTTACTATGCACTGCAGAGAGCATAATTGCAGAGTGAAGGCAGTGGCAGTTCAGAAATCTTACAACTCTATGTGACTATTGAATACAAATTCCTTCATCACTTTATACTAAGTAAAGATTATATGGGCTATGAATGAAGAATGAATTTCTTAATTAGTGAGCATCCAAGTGACTTAGAAGGGATTCAGCACAGCGAACAGCCAAGAACAAGCGCATATATATAGAACTACTATATATATATATATATATATATATATATATATATATATATATATATATATATAGAGAGAGAGAGAGAGAGAGAGAGATAGATAGATAGATAGATAGATAGATAGATAGATAGATAGATAGATAGATAGATAGATAGATAGAACTACTACCCTGTACTTGGTTACAAAATAACTTATTCTGTAGCCACTTTGAGTTACGATAATTACTATGTTAATTTACGAGATTACAGTAACTCCTTACTAAATGGTTTACTATAACGTTACGGTAAATATCCCCATGTGTTATAGTAACCCAACTATAGTAAATATATAATGACATTATCGTAAATTAGTATATAAAATTATCGTAAATGAAGGTAGCTACAGAATAACTTATTTTGTAGCTAGCTACTGAATATACTCTCCCTATATATATATAAAAGGGCTAGGATATTGGGAGCCTAGGGCTCCAAATAGGTAATGGAAAGCCCCAGCCAGTCCCTCTAGCCAGCCCAACCATTCAGATCACGGGTGCTGATGCGCGCACAGTTAGGGTACCACTGTAGACCCAGCTAGCCCCCCACGAAGCTGATGCGCGCGCAGTGGGGGACCCCTGGGGACTCATTGGACGCATAAAATCCTAGCTCAGGCTGCGCAGAAAGATTTTTATCGCGATGATGCATAAAATCTAGTGGTTGCATGAATTAAAATCAATTCGTTTCCGCAAAAAAAACCTCTCCGCAAGTTGGACGTTACACCTGACAGCAGCTCACGTAGGCTGACACATGCTGACACATGCATGCATGCGTGCGTCCACTTTGATCCCTTCTATTTTTTCGCAATAATTTCTCAACAAAGCATTCGATTCAAAAACGGTTTTCACCATTGAACTCCTGACATTTTTATGTACGATTCAAGATCCATTGTGAATATTTTTTTGAAAAAATTAAAATTCATAAATTTAAAATTTGAATCGTGGCACAATTACTGCCACAACCTTAATTACCGCCCACCAACATCATGCTTTTCCACTATGGAGGTGTATAATTAACATGGGAACAATGCATAAAACATGGAGACCGCAAAAGCGTAAAACATGTAGACGATCTCGTCTACTCCAAAATTTGAATCATGGCACGTGATGGCCAATTGGATGCATAGAATCAACGGTCAAGATGCGTAAAAAATTATTTAGCACCGATGTTGCATAGAAATTAGTGGTTGGATGAATAAAAATTAATTTTGTTACCGCTTAAAAACTTCTCCGCGAGATAGACATTCAACCTGACATAAGTGTAATAGCCTCCACTAACATCATGCTTCCGCCACTATGGAGGTGTATAATTAACATCGGAAAAATGCATAGAACATGGAGAACCGCAAGTGTAAAACATGTAGGCGATTTTGTCTTCTCCAAAATTGGAAATTTAAATCATGGCACGTGATGACCGATTGGATGCATAGAATCACTAGTCAATATGCGCAAAAAAGTTTTTTTGTGCCGACGTTGCATAGAAATTAGTGGTTCGATGAATAAAAAATAATTTTGTGACCACGTAAAACATCTCCACAAGATGAACATTCCACACGAGACAACCGTGATTGCCTCCCCCAATGCTTCCCAATATAGGCTTGTGTAATTAACATGGGGACAATGCATAGAACAGCGTAAAACATAGAGACGATCTCATCTTCTCCAAAATTTGAAATTTGAAATATAGCACGTTATGGACGATCAAATTCATAGAATCAATTGTCGAGATGCGTAGAAATATTTTTGGCGCTAACATTGCGTAGAAATTAATTGTTCGATGGATAGAAATTAATTTTGTTACCGACAAAAAATATCCCCCATGAGATGGACATTCCACCTGACATAACCGTGATTGCCTCCACCAACATCATGCTACTCAATATGGGTGTGTATAATTAACATGAAAACAATTCATAGAACATGTAGACTGCTAGCGTAAAACAGGAAGATCTCATATTCTCCAAAATTTAAAATTTGAATCATGGCATACGATGGCTAATTGAATGTATAGAATCCATGGTCAAGATGCTCAGAAAAATTACAATGCATAGAAACTAGGGGATGTTCGAGCCACCATGCTTTCCTCTAGGGGGATGTTTAATTAATAGAGAAACAATGCATAGAAACATACAAAACACAACCCACTAGGTGTAGACTATCCATAATGGTCCCAACTCTCAAAATGCGTAGAAACCCAGTCGACAAAAATATTAAAACCCAACTGAGGTTACATAGAAGCCAATAGTTTTGCTCATCTCATCCAAGCATATAAACACAACATATGGAAAACTAACTTTTTACATTAACCCATCAACTACACCAAGATCACACTAGGCCACCGCCCCAAGCCAAGGAAGTCGTGGAAGTCGCAAGCCATGTCCTATGTTTGAGCCACCGTTGACCTCTCACACCAACCGGAGAGGAATCCATTCCAACCATCCTACGTCACAACAAAGCCATAGAAACATGTTTGAGCAGATGCAGAAACCTTACAAATGATCGTAAGCATTAAAAATAAGCCATCAATAACACACAGTATTAAGAAGCATAGAAACCTTACCACACAAAGTATTGAGCTCAATTTTTATGCTAGGATCAACTAGAACATAAAGATGGAAGAAAAATACCTAAAGCAACAAGCAAGCAATAGAGAGGAATTTATTCACTAACCATGGGATCCAGATGCAAGGGGAGCAACTTCGTACTGTAGGCATTCACGAACCACCGTTCTCCTGTAATTTGTGAGCACAACAGTAGGCATAAAAAATAGTAACAAATAGAAATTATAACCTACATTGAGCGTCAGATTGTTAAATTATAATTGCCTATGCATAGAAACTTATGTATGCAAGCGCAGAAACAGAATTTGACTCTGAATGGATGCATTAAGAAAGGCATAGAAACATATTTTAGGTGGCGCAGAAACCTAACTATTCATGAAATTAATATCAGCTACGTTAATGCAAAAATCACGGTAAAAAATCTAGAAGGCGAGGAAGACGTTGCGGACAACAATAATACTAAGTCGAAGCTAGCAAGCAACGGTCTAATGATTTTTATGCCAAACACTTCAACTCCTATGCATCCAATAATCTAATAATTTTTTAAAAAGATCAATTTCTATGCATAGAAACCCTATTTGGAGAGTAGACAATAGAAAATCAAGCCACCCGCACGAACATCATAAACAGGCAGTGGCATAGAAAGCAATGATAACAGTAAGAAAGTATGTGAGCAGCACACAAGCATGAGTTCTTACGGACTGATCCATGCCTAGGAGCAGCAAGCACACTTAACGATTAAATCGAGCCTATAATTGAGTACGTACGTATTTAGGAAACAACAAGAAAATAAGGAATAGAAGCTTGCAACTGTTGACACCTGCATGCTTATTCCTAAACTGCATGGAAACCTTGTCGCTAGATTACCAAACTCACAACTGCATGTTTCTACCTAAAATTGCACACATAGAAACCTTGCCGCTAGATTACCGAACTAGTAGCCACTACCAGCATAAAAAAATGAGTAGCTAACTATCCAAATACTAAGATTTTAATTTCTATGCATCTAAAATATGATAGGATTTCATCTAAAATTGAATCAAAGCAAGCAGACACTAGGTAAATCAGAGAAAATTGAAGATGTACTTTGATATGCATAGAAACTCACTACTTCTAGAACAGAAACTCACTTTTAAATGCATAGAAACTCATTTTTAGTCTGCACTTGGGGAGTGCAACATGTTTTTAACCTAGATTACCCATTTCAACCTGCATTTTCAAAGTTTATGGATCTAGATGACACTCCTAAAAGGTTGAGTGCCGCCCATACATTTCATTTTGTAAAGTATAGCAATGACTCACCAGCATACCAAGAACACAAAACAATCAACAACAGAACAATGTAGCATATTTTAAGTAAATGTAAGTTTTCACTGGAGCATTCATCACAATGCTACCTCATAAAGCTTTGAACGCTAGATAAAACAAACATACCAAACTCATCGGTAGAAGCGAAACTCTAGATCAACAGGCTTCCTGTGTAAACGCCAATGCTTTGAGATTCTGCAAGTCCCATTGCCCTGATATCCAACAAAGGGCAGACCCAGTGCCGGAGGCTCCCACATGAGTGGGGTCTGGGAAAGGGAAAAACCGAGGCAAGCCTTCCCCCCCGCAAAATCTGCGGAGATGCTGCTTCGAACCCGCGACCTGGTGCATCTGCTAAATTGTCGGTTGTTGGATCATAGCATTTTAACAATCTCTCTACCATTTCAAAAATGACTATCCTCCCATCATCTAATATCAGTAAAGGATGTACAAGGTAACCAAGGTGCTTCATACTTAATCTGTACTTTTTAACCCAAAGACCTCTCTTGTGATCCACTAGAAACCATAGGTCGAAAGAGACACCAGCATCATTGTCAACTATAACCAAGCTGCCATTTAAGTTGGCTAATGAGAGTACCCGCCCAGAGTAGAGGCCAAACTTAGCACTTCGCAGTGGCTCTGGACCCCGAAGAGTTGGCATCCACTTCTCTGTATCAAGGTCGAATGGAGCTATGCTGGTTGATTCCATAACAGCATAATCAAAGAAGAAATACACAACCCCATTGACAGCTAAGCATTCCATGATTTGATCTCTCATAAGGTTGCTGGGTCTCCTAAGGTTGCTGGGTGGGTTCTGCTTTCTCCTCCACCTTCCCTGGCTACTCCCATCAAGGGTGTTGATGTCACATAGCAAAGACTACGAGCGATCAGGATGGCTGATGCGGAGTACCTTGTAGAGTTGTAGTCGCCAGTAGAAGCAACCTGTCCAAAAGCATATGTAACCGTCTTGCAGTTGTGCCTCAAAGCAGAACCCCAATTAAATCTCTGTTCTATGCAAATGCCCACAAACTCATCTGAATGAGGGCCGGGCAAAGTGAGGGCAACTGCGGTGGCCGGGTTGAGAACCCAGGCGGCCAACGAGGGCTTGCACATCCTGATGACACAGAGGCGGTCGAGGTGGGTGAGCAGCAACTCGATGCGATCGGAGTCAATGCGTATCCGCCTGAGAATCTGCCCCGACAGGATCACGATGGCGACGCCCCTGACGTCGCCGTCCCTAAAGGTGAGGGCGAAGAGGGGCTCCGCGTGGCGGGCCATGTGCTCCGCTGCGAAGTGAGGGTCGGAAGTGACCGGCAGACGGCGTGGAGGTGACAGAGATCCTTGGCCGGGAGCGCAGCATGACCTCGAACAACGCGTCGGGGGGCAGCGCCGGCGCGCCGGTGTTGGTGACCGGGACGGCATGGCTGAGCTTAGAGCTGGACGCCGTCGATCTGGGGCTATGCGAGGTCGGAGGAGGAGAAGACGGAGGGCGGCGCCGCTGGAAGGCGGAGCGCTGGTGAATGGTTCTCAGTCACCGGGCCAGTCGTCTAGCTTGTTGGGCTGGGGTTTAGGGTGTCGATGACCGAAGCTTGGCCCAGTCCAGGTTGGGCCTCTAGTTTCTGCAGCCAGTGACGGCCCAGCTCTTGCCATGTCAGGTCTACATCCCGTGAGGCCACGAGGAGAACTACTTTTTCTGACACGCAACTCATAGTTACGTAGAGAGCATGTCACTACGTCAGTAGCTAATCTATGTGTTTAGTCAACCGTATTTAGATTTTGAACATCTAGGTGGTTCTTGTTTATTGAAATTGTAATTTGAATGCCTGGCCTAGTACGTTGTTGCGTGTTCGCCAGTACTTTCACAACATGCTTTTTGGATTGAGTAAAATACACGCTGGGTTCTTAAACTTTTGGGGCATTCTCATCTAGATCCTCCAACTAAAAAAGCTACCATCTGGGCCCCTAATCTTCTGTCGTCACACAGCAACAGTCTAAAACCCGCCACGCCAGCGCCAGCATATGACGTGGCCATGTCACATAGGCAGCTGGATGTTGTGGCCATGCCACAGTGGCAGGTGATGGGCTTGCAGTGCGCTGTCACGGTTCGGCACGGAATAGGGGAGGTCGTCGGCGTCTACACCAGTGGCTCTTTTTCGGTGTTCACCGGAATTTCCAGTGGCACTGTTTGCCTTTGATTTCTTCTCTGTGCACCATCGGACTGAAACTTACTGGAACCTCTCTAGTGGTGACCTATGTTTCGGTGTTACCTACCTTCATTATACTAGAGATTTCCGGTGAGTCTTATGACTCTGCCAGTACAACAGCTCTTTTTTTGTGAGCAAAGAGAGAAGCTTTATTAGCTTTTTTTCTAGACCGGTAACCCATTTCCATTAGAGTTAACGGAAATACACAGCATTCGGAAGATTACAGACAGAAACAGAAATGAAAATCTAGAAGCAGCAGATTACACCCAGACCGCCATACCATCTAAACCCGAATCATCGAACACAAACTCCCAGGGATCGTAACCCTTGCAACTACCCAAAAACAGCAGGCATCAGAGTATTGCAGTTTCATAAGACTGCCAACAACTATCATCAAGACATCTATGGGTCCAAACCAATTTTCAGGCTTCCAAAACAAACTGTTCATCTTGCATAAAGGACTCCCCCACCCTGCCCCTGGAGGAGAGCTAGGTCGAATCTTCGTCTTGATCAGATCGATTGCCATCTTCTAGCAGCAACTGGTTCACTTGTCTGGTAGTTTGAGCCGCGAGAACTTCCTTGGCAACTCTAAGCATGGTATTCGCCCCCTCCACCAGCTGATCTCTGTCCAAATCTGCAAATAGACCTGCCCAATACACCATGAGCGCGCAGGCATGACAAATAATTTCCAACGGATTCTGTAATAACTTTCCATCGAATACAACTTTGTTTCTTCGTATCCAAATTGCCCAGCAGATAGCAGCAACTCCCAAAGGATGGAATTTCTTCCCAAAGGGAAGCCATTTGTCACACCACAACAAACATTGTTCAAGACTAATCAGAACATTGGTAGCACCAAAACATTTGGCTACTATAACCCAAACCATCTTAGCAACAGGGCATTGAAAAAGCAGATGAGAAACAGTCTCAATAGACTCAAAACACACATTTAGGGTTGCCTTGCCATTTTCTTTTTCTAAGATTATCCCTAGTCAAGATAGCATCATTTGTAACAAGCCATAAAAAGATCTTAATTTTCTCTAGAATTTTACCTTTCCATATGCGTTTGTGACAACTCCCTGTGGAAGAACTAGTCAAAGCATCATAAACCGATTTAACAGTGAATCTACCCTTCTTTCCACACAACTGTATCATCATTGTCAGATAGCATAAAAACTGATGCATCGTGCAGGATCTTGTTCCAACTATCTCTAAATTCCCCAAATAACCAACACCTGAATGTAATTTGCACACCATTGAAAAACTGTGCAACCGTAATATTCTCATTTTCACACAATTCATAAACCACTGGAGCAATCACACACACTTGTTCCTTGTACAGCCATGGGTCAAGCCAAAATCTGGTTAAGTTCCCATTTCCAATTTTTACTCCTCTACCTTGTAAGTAAATGTCCTTCACTTTTAAAAGATCAAACCACATCGGGGAATCATTCAGTTTATGGCTCACCTCATGAATCGATTTAGTTCTCATGTATTTATACCTGACTATATCTTGCCACAAACCTTCTTCCTTTTCCAATCTCCACCACCATTTACACATTAAACTGATGTTAAGTTTCCTCAAATCTTTAATTCCCAAACCACCTTCCTTTTTGCTTTTACAGATTATTTCCCACTTGATCAGATGATATTTTTTCTTTGTACCCCCTCCTTGCTAGAAGAAGGTTCTTCCAATCTTATCTAAACTTTTGATAGTGGTTTTGGGAAGTAAAAACACTGAGATATGATAAATTGGTGAGTTATTCAAACTGGCAGAAATTAAAGTTGACCTCTCAGCTATAGACAAAGTACCCCCTTTCCAAACATCCAAACGCTTATTTCCTTTCTCAACTAAAGGCAGCCAATCATTAAGTTTCAATCTACTAGGGCTAACTGGCACCCAAACAGCCAAACACTTATTTCCTTTCTCAACTAAAGGCAGCCAATCATTAAGTTTCAATCTACTACGGCTAACTGGCACCCCCAAATATTTGATTGGAAAGAGACCAACTTGACAATTGAACAATTCAGCATATTCATGACCCCAATTCTCCTCATCATTAACTATAAGAACCTCACTCTTATTGAAATTAATTTTCAAACCAGCAAACATTTCAAACAGATACAATAGAAATTTCATATGTGTAGCACCTTCCAGATCATGTTTCAAAAAAAGAATTGTATCATCCGCGTATTGTAATATTGCAACACCATTCGGAATGATATGGTTTATCAGCCCCGTAATTAATTTATTTTCTTGAGCTTTATGCACCATTCGGGTCAAACAATCAGCCACAAAGTTGAACAAAATCGGGGATAATGGTTCACCTTGCCTAACACCCTTAAAATTCTTAATATAGGGTCCAATCTAGTTATTTACTTTTACACTAACCATACCCCTGAAACAACTTGTTTAACCCAATAACACCATTTGCTGTGAAATCCCCTTTTTTCCAAACAGTCAAATAATAGTTTCCAATTTACCTTGTCATAGGCTTTTTCAAAATCAAGTTTCAATATTATCCCAATTTCTTTCTTTCTCTTTGTTTCATGCAAGCTGTTTGAGTATTATGAATCAAATTACCAGCTACCATCTCCAATCTAAGAGTCAATGTTTTGGTGATCAACTTGTATAGACAGTTCAATAAACAAATTGGCCTAAACTGTTGAATTCTAGATGCCTCTTTGATTTTTGGTAACAAAGTGATAACCCCATAATTAATTCTGCTAATATCAACTTTCTGATTATGGAAATCATCAAACAATTGTACAATGTCAGCCTTCACAATGTTCCAACAACTTTGATAAAACTCAATTGGGATTTTGTCAGGGCCTGCAGCTTTATTCTTTTCCATTTGATCTAGAGCATCTTTAATTTCCTTTTCAGTGAATGGCTTACACAGAAATTCATTATCATCATGAGATACTCTGGGAATGTTTTCCCAAATCTCAGGATCCATTTAGATCTCATATTCAATTGGTGGGCCAAACAGATCAGAGTAATATTTAGAGGCATGTTTTAACAAATTCTCTTCCCCCTCAATCAGTTGACCATCTTTTTCTAAACTTATTATGCTATTCTTCCTTTTCCTACCATTAGCACATTTATAAAAATATGATGTATTGCTATCACCCTTCAACAACCAAGATTCATGAGCTCTTTCATACCAATACAACTCTTCCTGCTCCAAACTTTTCAGATTCTCAATTAATAACCAAACCTTCCTATCAATTTGCTCAACAGATAACCCACCAACCTCCTCAATGGATTCCAGCATGCTCAATTTGGCTTGAAATTTTTTTCTCTTTTTCCTCATTTCTCCTTGTAAGTTAAAACCCCACCCTTTGAAGAACTGTTTAACAAGTTTGAGGTTTTTTTGAATTTTATCAATTGTGGACCTAGCCTTACAAGGCTTGTTCCAAATATTCTCAACAAGATTAAAAAATTCATGATTTTTAAGCCAGCATAAATCAAATCTAAACCGTATGAGAGGCAATTTGTCACACATTTTCCAGTGGTAATGATCAATGGATTATGGTCAGAAACCTCCCTAGGTAATTTCTTCACAACAGCCTGTGGAAAAATGTCTTCCCATTCTTTAGTTACCAAAATCCTATCAAGTTTTTTCCAGCACATGAGGGTTCTGATTATTGGACCAGGTAAAAAGACCACCATTCATAACCAACTTCCTTAATTCATAAAAATGTATTGCTGAATTAAAAAGATCAGTATGCCTATGTACACCCTCCATTGTGTTCTTCTCTTTAGAATATCTAATGATGTTAAAATCTCCACCTATAATTATAGGTTCAGAATTGTTTGCACAAAAATGGGAAAGTTCTGTCAAAAAAGACATTTTATTCTCATCATGTGCTGCACCATAAACAATCAACAAATTCCATTTTAGCTTCAAAACTTTATCCCAAAGATTCATTTGGATCATGAATTCACCTTGTTTGAAAGAACCTACATCAAAACGCTCAAGTAACACCAGCTAAAATGCCTCTAGATTTCCCCTTGGCATCATTCCACAACCAAATGTAATCCTTATTCAAATCAAACTTTCTTAAAAGAGACTCATCACAGAAGCTTTATTGGCTAGCCATCGGCAAATTACAATCGGCATTTAGGAAGGGCAAAGCGCACGCAGGCACTTGTCCTGGCCAAGCCTCAGAATGTTTACAACGTCTAGCTAAAGAAGCTAAGGCATTTGCTAC